GAGGGAGCGCTGGCGGCCCCGTCTCGGCCGGATCCGCTCAGGCCGGGAAGAGGAAGGGTCCGGAGTAGCCGTGAGGGCCAGGAAAGGCCTGGACGGAGACTCACGGATCTGCTGTTGTTGCGGTTTTTTTCTTCAGCCAAAACAACTTCCCGACAAGTGGCAGCACGATCTTTTCGACAGTGGCTTCGGGGGTGGTGCCGGCGTGGAGACGGGTGGGAAACTGCTGGTGTCCAATCTGGATTTTGGAGTTTCAGACGCCGATATTCAGGTAAGAGACGAGGGCTTCTCGGTGAGCCGTTCGCCCTGCACAGGACCGATCGTGATTTGGGGGATGGGGCCCTGAGTCCCCTTCCCGCCTTAGCGAAGGGAGCGCTCCCAGCTCTCAAGGGCTGCAGGACAGACCTAGCTCTAGTCAAGCCGGGCTCAGTCCGCAGGCAGCTGCGAGCCTAGCCGAGCCTGAGGAACTGCTGCTGGTAGTCTGAAGATGGGTTCTGTGAGTGAACATCCCCAGCCAGGGCTTCCAGTTTCTAACAGGGACCAAGACTGATCAAATGTGAGTGGTTGTTGGCTGTTTAACCCAGCCCAGTTGCTCTTTAAATTTTGTGCCCCTTTTAGTGGGTTAATGTGAGAAAAATAATCTTTTTTATGTACCTTATGAAGCACAGGAAGCCTGTGTGATTTTCTGGCTCTGTCTGCCTTGAGTATTGTCTTACAAAGACGTTGTACGCTGCGGTTTTATCACTCCCCACCCCCGTGTCCCTTCAGTGACATGATTCTCAAGCCCATCTTTGGTTGAAGCTTTTCTTTTTTTAAAAAAGAAAAATTGAATCCCAATGGCATTTAAACTTGTTTTCTGGTTAAGAAATGATTTTTTGGGAATCAGTTTTGGAGATGGCTGGGCAGGGTTCAGTTGCCCACAGCCCAGCCATTTGCCTTGGGAGGACAGAGTAGGGCCAGTGAGCACTCACAGTGTCTCAACACTTTTTTTAAGGTGGTTTCTAGCATCCACTGGAAACCGCTTTTGGTGAACTCCAGTTCCCGCTGTGTGCCTGCGGCCGGAGTATCCCCACACTCTGGGTTCCCTCTCCAACTCCCAGCCTGCCTGAGGTCAGGGCAGTTTCCATGGCAGCGCTTGACTTCAGACTTTGCGGCAGGCTTGAGTAGGAGGAGAGGGAAAGGTGAGCCAGAATCTGCCTCTGGGGGAGGGGCTGGGGTCAGGGCTCCCGAATCTACAGGCCCTTCAAGCTGGTCTGATATCGGACTGCTTCCCTTGCTCTTGCTCTTGATCTTGGCCTTTAGCGTTTCTTGGAACAGCCCTTGGGTGTGTTGTAAATTTTCCTTCGTTGAGGAGGATAGTGGCTTAATTTTGTGCCCCTTGCTAGTGGGCTTTGCGACTTCCTCTATCTGCATCATGGTACACGTGTCTGGTCCCCACAATGGCAGGAGCCCTCAGACCCAGGTGCTCTTGGAAGTTGCTGTCCCTTCTGCCCCACCCTTCCCTCATTTCCCGTTACCACTGTCCTGCCTCCCAGGGAACCACCCCCAAAGTAACTCATGCTTCCAGGGCCTGTCCCTGGGCCACCAGAAGGAACCCAGTTTTGTTGCTTTTCTGACAACTGCTCTTTGCAACTCCCAGGAACTCTTTGCTGAATTTGGAACGCTGAAGAAGGCGGCTGTGCACTATGATCGCTCTGGCCGCAGCTTAGGAACAGCAGACGTGCACTTTGAGCGGAAGGCAGATGCCCTGAAGGCCATGAAGCAGTACAACGGTGTCCCTCTGGATGGTGAGTCTGGGGGTGGACCCACGCTGACTGTGGGGCTTGTGGAGTTTGGGGCTGGCACCTGTCCAGGTAGGAAAATGGGGTACCCCTGTGGCTGAGGACACTTTGCATTTGCCCCTTTGTCTCTCTCTTCCATCTGCCACCTCTCATGCTGCCCCACACATCTGGACCAACCTCTTGTGAACCCCCATCCAGCAAGCTACATCCCTCCCCTCCTTCAGCTCCTTCCGGAAGATTCACTTCTGTGAAGCCTTCTCAGAACCGCCATAGTACACCTCTGAGTGCGGGGCTGTAGTCGTAAAGACAAAGGTACCGGTTCTTCTTCGTCAGGTCACCCACACCTCTCCACCCACGAGCACCCTGACACCTCAGCAAGCAGCCCACCCAGTCTGGACTGAGAAGGATGAGGAGGTGTTGGTGGGGTTGCTTCCTTGCCATTTTGTTCTCCCACCAGTATCTCCAGGCCATTTCCCTTGTCGGGGGCATTTGAGACACACAGAGGCCCTTTCCAGTGTTTGCATGGAGACCAGGGTGTGGTGCCAGCTGGGTTGGTTTCAGAGCCTCTCATTAGAACGTGCCCTCTTGTATTCTTTGCCGCAGGCCGCCCCATGAACATTCAGCTTGTCACATCACAGATTGATACACAGCGGAGACCTGCACAGAGGTGACTTCCGGGGCCTCTGGGGAAGGGTGTTGGCCTAGAGTGTAGCTGTATCGCCCTTGGGGTTCTTCCAGCTATGCGAACGGTTTCGTTTTCCTTGCTAGCGTAAACAGAGGTGGCATGACTAGAAACCGTGGCGCTGGAGGTTTTGGTGGCGGTGGAGGCACTCGGAGGGGCACCCGTGGAGGCGCCCGTGGAAGAGGCAGAGGTGCCGGCAGAAATTCAAAGCAGCAGCTTTCGGCAGAGGAGCTGGATGCCCAGCTGGACGCCTATAATGCGAGAGTGAGTCCCGGGGGAGCCAGCTGGGGGCCCGGTCGAAGCCACAGTGGGGAGCAGGCCTTCTGTGAATGCGAGCCTCTTTTTCCTCTGTGTTTCAGATGGACACCAGTTAAACAGACCGGCAAATCCGCGTGTGGAACAGGACCCAGGCGTTTCCTCTTGCTCCCTGGTCGGGGGTGGGCGGTAGCTGGGGCTGTGCGGCCAATGATGGATTTGTTTCTTTTATGTTTTAAAATAGGATTTAAAAACTCATGTAAAGGTTTTTTTTTTTTTTCTTCCTTTTTTTTTTTTTTTTTAAATTCTGAAACAGACCTGTTTTGTACCGAGTTATTTTTGGGATAAATTTTACCGGTTGCTGTTGTGGAGAAGGTGGCGTTTCCACCTTTTCCATAATAAAATAGAAATGTGTGTAGAACTGGAACTGTTTGATTCGTCCCACTGTTGAAGTCCAAGCCTGGGCTAGGACTTTGGTGTCTGTCCAGCTAGTGGGGGAGAACCTGAGTTGGGGATGGAGGGTGCAGCCCCATCTGGTGTTGGACGCCTGACGCTGGCATGGGTTGTGGGGGTGGTGGGGGGTCCCCACTCCTGGAGGGCCGAAGCTGCCTGCTTCCTTTCTCATTCTCTTTCCTGCCTCACACCTAACGCCTTCCTCTCTGACTCACCAGGTGGGAGGACACCTTTGCCCGGAGCCACCTGTTGACCCTTGTGCCTGTGCCTCCAGGTGAGGGGAGGTTGGGGTGGGGCGGGCTGCCCTGTGTGCTGTCCACAGACTTCCCACAGCCAGAGCATCTTTGGGCTATTCCTTCCTTTCTGGTACTCTGGTTTTCAGAGAAACGTGGATTCAGCAGTTTTGACTTTGTAGTGTAATTCCTTTGTTTTTCTATTTTTTTTTTTAACGTTGCTACAGAGCAAGGTATGAGGATTCTCTTAGTTGTGTATTTGATGAAGTGACTGGTGGAAGCTGTGACAATCTGTCCATTTAAGAGTGGGGCGGCTGGGCGTGGTGGCTTACACCTGTAATCCCCAGCACTTTGGGAGGCTGAGGCAGGCGGATCACCTGAGGTCAGGAGTTCAAGAGCAGCCTGACCAACATGGCGAAACCGCGTCGCTACTGAAAATACAAAATTAGCTGGGTGTGGTGGCGCATGCCTGTAATCCCAGCTACTCGGGAGGCTGAGGCAAGAGAATCGCCTGAACCGGGGAGGTGGAGATTGCAGTGAGCTGAGATTGTGCCATTGCACTCCAGTCTGGGCAACAAGAGTAAAACTCCGTCTCAAAAAAGAGTGGGGCAATGCCTGATACCTGTAATCCCAGCACTTTGGGAGGTCAGGGCAGGAGGATCTCTTGAGCCCAGAAGTTGGAGACCAGCCTAGGCAACATGGCAACACCCCGTCTCTACTAAAAATACAAAAATTAGCTGGGTGTGGTGGCATGCTCCTGTAGTCTCAGCTAGTCTAAAGGCTGAGGTGGGAGGATCACTTGAGCCCTGGAGGTCGAGGCTGCTGTGAGCCATTATCATGCCGCTGCACTCCAAGCTGGGCAGTGGAGAGAGAGCCTTATGCCCCCGATGCTGGATTGGTGACAGCACTTTGAGAATGAGATGGGAAGGGGGACAAGGAAGCTCCCGAGTTTTGCCTGACGCCACTGTCCCACTGCTGGGATGTACAGAAGACCAGGGCAGTGGGTAGTGGTAGTGGAGAGACAGACAGGAATACACGCCGTGTCTGCAGAAACCTTTCCCTGCACCAGCGGCTCCTGCGGGCACACATCCCAGGCTAAGCTTGCTTCCATGCTGGGATGGACCTGGCTGAGTCAAGGGCAGGGGAGTGTGACTAAGGGTGGCCCTTTCACTGTTGGTCACAGATGTCACTACAGGTCAGCAGCTGCCATCTAAGCAGCTTGCCCCATGCCAGCCAGGGCCACAGTCTAGAAACCCAGATGAGCAGGATGACTAATCTTGGCCCTTCCAGAAGCCCAGTCTAGCAGGAGAAAGGATTACTAAGTACCTAGCTTTAGTTGCTGTGAATGTGACAGGAAAATGTCATCAGTTCAGTGAGTTGGAATCAGGTTATCCCCAAGCAGGTGCCCTTGGCCTGGCCTCAGTGTTGGAGCAAGACCTGAGCAGGCTCATGCCAGGCAGGGGGGCTGCTCTCTGGGGCCGTGCTAGGACTGGCTCCCTGCTGCTTAGGAAGTGGAGAGGGCACCTGGTGGACTGGTATGATCGGCCTCTGCAGGGTGCGACAAATGCCAGGACTGACAGGCAGCACTGCTTTGGTTGTGCAGTAGTGATGTAACAGGCATTTGGAGGGAGGAATGACTTACTGGCATTTGGGGCTTACTGGCATTTGGGGCTTATTCTCAGGAGTGAGGGGCATTGGAATGAAGTATTATGAGGCCTTGGGGGACTGGGTGGGTAGGTGTCGTTGCTGAGGGCTGTCAGCATCTGGAGTGCTCCGTGTCGGACAGGCTGGGCAGAGGCACCAGCTGGCCCGCAGGAGAGCACTGCCTAGAGCCAGACCTCTCCAGTTTGTCAGCTCATAGCACGTGGACACGTTTGAGGTAGTGTCCACATGTGGCATGGTCTTGGGAGGGTTGGAGGTTATGGAAGTAGAGAAAATGATGTCATAGAAGCAATAGCTGGCATTTGCTGGGGGTCCAGTGGTGGGTCTTTGAGGCAGGTGCTGCCGAGTGGTCAAAGGAGAATGACCTGATTCTGTTCCTGGGGTGGGGGCAGGGCCGGCCATTTATAACTAGGGTAGAGGCTGGGTCTAGAAGCCCTGGGGCTTTTGGTGGGCAGCAGGTCAGGTAGCTGGGCTGAGCCTCATCGTACCCAGCCTTCATTTCCTTATTCATAAAACACAAAACCTTACTTTACTTCCAAGGCTAGAGGACTATTTAATTTATTGTCCCATTGGGGGGCTTATGAGACAGGAGCGGGCTTTTCCACTGACTGCACAGACAGCAAGTAGACCTGAGGTCTTGGCCAGCTGGGCTGTCTGGTCCTCTCCTGAAGGGTGCTGCCAGTCCTCCGGGCACAGGGCCTTGCAGGGCAGACACTCCACACTGCCCAGCGCCCTGCTGCCCCCCCACCTGGTGACTGAGTGATGTTTTGCTCCGGCAGCAAGCTATAGCCAACAAACTGAACTGACAGCCTTTGCCCCATGGGCACTCGCGGGGAACCTTCTCTGCCTCTGGCAGTCCTGTGGTTCCGTAGTGCCATGCGCCTGTAATCCCAGCTACTCCGGAGGCTAAGGCAGGAGAACTGCTTGAACCGGGGAGGTGGAGGTTGCAGTGAGCCGAGATCGCGCCATTGCACTCCAGCCTGGGTGAAAAAGAGTGCAACGCTGTCTTGGAAAAAAAAGAAAGCACAGGGATTGACCCAGATGGGACATATGACTGAAGGGTGGCAAAGCCAGATTACACTCAGGGTGTTCAAATGTGGGGAGAAAAGGGAAGCCCTGTTCTTCCTGGTCCCTTTCCCTGGCCGGCATGGGTTGAGAGTAGGAACTGGCCAGCCCCAGGCAGGAGAGGCAGCATTCCTGTGGGACTTGGAGCTCTTCCAGGGTGGCTCATGGCCTGCCCAGCTCTGTCTTCAGCCTGGGGTCCTTGGAGAGGGTCTCAGGTGTCAGCGTGCAGCTCCCACAGGTGCTCTGGCTTTTGGCTGGTGTGCACAGAGATCTAACAAGGAGTTTAGACTAGGAAGCTAATTGAATCATGTTCAGCCTCCTGTGGCTCAAGGGGCTACATTGTTGCTCTCAGAAATCCTTTCAGATCTCATGAGATGGTTATGTCTGTATCTGGCAACAGAGTTGTCATGTAAATGAGAAACTTTTGGTTCTTACCTGCAGTGAACTGATGGTCTGATACAGGAAACATACAAGTGATAGGTTGCAGTCTAGCCTAACGGGAGTGGAGTGTGGGGCATGGTGGGAACACAGGCTGCAAGAGCACTCCTCTCTCAGGCTGCACAAACGGTCAGCCAGTGTCCGAGGCTGCAGCGCTGCTGGATGTTATACATACATTTCATTTATCCTCTCAGCAATCTAGTAATACAGTCCTTCACTTTAGAGGTTTTTTTTTTTTTTTTGAGGGGGCACTGAAACCTTCATCTTCCTGGTTCAAGCAATTCCCCTGCCTCAGCCTCCTGAGTAGCTGGGATTACAGGCTTGAGCCACCACGCCCAGCTAATTTTTGTATTTTTAATAGCGACAGGGTTTCACTGTGTTGGCCAGGCTGGTCTGGAACTCCTGACCTCGTGATCCGCCCGCCTCGGCCTCCCAAAGTGCTGGGATTACAGA